TGACTTTCCTGTGATTAAAACTATATTGCAGTTTTCCAATCTTCAGTGGCTCTAGAGGTGAAATATTTGGATACACGGATTCGGTTAGAACGTCGTGCAACATTTGGATACACTGATTATTGCTATATCTGGATACATGGATTCGGTTATAACGTCCTAAGTGCTATATTGTATATCATTCATATTAATCGATTATTGTGTTCATGATACAGGTTGGTGCTCAGACTTTGCACATATGATTGAAAAAATAATGTTAAGGAAAGATTTGCATTACTATGAACTATTGTAATCTATAATTATGCCATACTTAATTGTGTAATATTGAAAAACACAATATTTTTTAACTGATTGCAAATTGCAGTTTTATTACTTGTCATTTGGTATCTATTCTTTCAAACACTGTGTAATTCGCTTTTTTTTAATGCCATTATGTATGTCTATTAGATTATCTCAATAAATGAATGTTGGAAATTAGGTTGTGTTCTTTATTAAATTTAAGTATATTCATTATACTTTTAAACTTTTATATCCATTGTACTTAAATAAGTATATTAAGTAAATCATTTAAGTATATTCATTAAGTATATTCTTCGCTTACATTTTATATGCTTGTGATAACAAAGAACTTCATAATAAATAGAAACAAAAAGTTTCATCGTGTGCTATTTAACGAAGAGCTTACTTTAACGTACTTAGCTTACTATCATATACTACATTATTTGAATCAGTTCTGTACAGTAACAAAAAAGGAAAGTTATTGATTATAAAATGTGCATGAAATAATCATTGTAATCAACCATTATTATGAAATGTAGAAACTAAAAATAAATAAATACATTAACATATGATCGAAAGAAATGGTGTTAAGAATCATTAGCATTACTAGCGTAAATACTGCAAACCATAATTATTGCACTTTTAATTGCTTACTATTTAAAAAACACAAATATCTTTTTATTAATTGGAAATTTTAGTTCTGTTACCTTCCTTCTGCTATTTATATTTTCAAACACTACTAGTTCATGTTTTTTCTTAAATAGTGCTGTCATGTATGTTGTTTCTTAGGTTAGTATTTCATTTTAGATATGAATATGGGAAGTTATTAGATTTAGGTATATTTTTGTATGAAATATTCTTTATCACATTTATTAACTACTTTAAACTGTCTTTTATTTGCACATCTTGGAGATATAGAAGTTAATGGTTATATTTTTTACTGTGAAACACGAATAAATTTATATTTGAGTTCAGGTAAAATACTGATTATGTTACCTTAAGAGCCGCTTCCTAATTTATCATGACGGGCAATTTTCAATGTCCCTGAGATTTAACAGAAATAAATGTGATAATGCTGTTATCAGAAACGCTATTTTTTTTTACCCATATATTATATCATTTACTTTTATTTATGTCTGAATTGAGTTTTAGTTTACTTAAAAATACTACTAATGTTATATATATTTATAATAACCTCTTTCATAAATTACTCTCACTTACATACTAAGGGATTAGGAAAAAAATGATAAAATCTTAAATAGTCGTAACTTAGGAATTTTAAATTATTTAAAAAATATAGTATAAAGTACTGAAAATAATTAAGGCTATTATTAATTATGCATATTCAGCCTAAAGAGAAATTTAAAAACTATAGTTTCAAATACTGAAAATAATTAAGGCTATTATTAATTATGCATATTCAGCCTAAAGAGAAATTTAAAAACTATAGTTTCAAATACTGAAAATAATTAAGGCTATTATTAATTATGCATATTTAGTATAAATAGTATAAAGAGAAAAAACTGTATTATCTTCTGGTTTTCAGGAAATGACAAAATATTTAAAGTTTAGATATATACAAGGAATACAAAATTTTAAAAAAGAAGAAAAATATATTAATTATTAAGCTTATTTTTCTGCAGAAATCAATATGTAACACAAGGACATAATAACAACTTTTTCACAACTGTTGCAAAAAGCTGGAATTTTGCAAACATTTAGGCATCGTTAAGACGTCGTGATACGATGCTCTCACAACCAAAATATCATCTGCAAAAGACACAATAATGACGTCTATGTGACCAATACCTCATCTGAGAAGACGTAATAAAGACGTCTTTGCAACGGTTGCAAAACAGTGAAGTTTCGCGGACATCTGGGCATCTTAAAGACGACATATTGCAACATTTTTGCATCGACATACGCGACGAGTTTGCAACGTCATTACAACGTTGCTGTGCTACTTGTGTAGATGTAGAAAAGAACAATGAAATGATAAAATTGTATCAGGCATGAGATGGATAAAATATTTTTCACAAGAAAAGAGAGTCGAGAAACTCTTTGTTTGCTTTTCTTCTAAGTGAAGCTATTTCTGTTTATTCTGTGCTATTTAAAATACTGTCACGAAATGTCCAGCGACTGTAAGATAGCTTCCCTGCAAGCGGATTTAGGGTTGCCAGAAAATGGTGAGGGTAGGCAAGGTTGCTATATTTGGGGAGAAATTACCCATTTGATGACAAAACTGGCGGTATGCCATAAACAGATAAAGAACCTTCTGGAACAAATTCTTACCAGTTTGGCCCAGAATGTTCTCGAACGCAAGCCAAAAAAATACAAACTCGGATACAAACCCTGCTGGTACACAGAGTGCTCAGTGCCTAGTCAGTCAGTTAATAATCAGTGAGTGAGTGTCTCGAGTTGGTCGTTGAGTGCATCGAGAAAGTCTCTTAGTGTATCGTGAGTTAGTGCATTGTCAAGTTTTATCTTAGAGTGGGTTAAGCTCCGAGAACGATTGAACTAATTCGAGAGCTGTACTCGTCGAGGGTGTATCATCGAGTGTATTGCGTGTTGTAGTATGGAGAGTCTCAAGAGTATGTAGAGTTCCAAAAACGACCGAGCAGAGTCAGGAGCTGTGCTCTGGTACTTTGCCATGAAGCTGACTTCACTGTTATAACCTGATAACCTGAAGGCTGTGTTGCTGATTGTTTCGACGTGTTTATAATAGTTCTTTGACAACTGTTAAAGTGTTTTGGAGTTGTCCTGAGTAATACTTCCTAATAAATTGTGTTTCGATACTTCATCAAGTGTCGTCGTTATTCACTCTAAATCGATGAACCCCGTACGTTAGAAGAAAAATGTAACAATATTAAATTTTTATTGCTAAAGAGAATGGAATCTATTCAAATTTCCTGACTTTTTAGCTAAAGTTTTGATTTTCTTTGATGTTTTTGGAAAAGTCCATACCTTTACTGGCCATTTTTCCTTTCCTTTACTTTTCAATTTCCACGATTAATTACCCTACAATTTTAAAGCAACTCTGAGCGAATGAGCTCCTGTATAGCTGGAAGCTCAATAGAATTAGGCTTAAACAAATAAAATTTCAATTATAAATCAATTCATGAAGCTTATCTGTGAACTGTATTCAAAAACTTATCTGGAGATTTTTACAAAAAATCTGTGAAACTTTTTTTCGGAAATGGCATAAATATTCTGACCATACAATTATTATTTCATTTTCCATATAGAAAAATGTTATAACCTTTGCATATGTAACTAGAGAACACAGTTTGAAAATAGCTTTTTTGGTCTTGATGTTATATTAAACCTAGGCTTAGTTTACAATTTGGATAAAAAATTACAACCAATATGTTATTCATGTTCTTAGCAATGTAAAGGGAATTCGTTTTGACTCTCTTTCAACATAAGTTAGAAAACATGCTTTTAAAATGAATGATTAATATTTATTTGAATTGCTTAGGACATTTAGTTTAAATATATTATATTATGTGAGACATCATAAAAACAGATTACGTTAATATTGATTAATAATAGAATGAAATTCAGTTATGATTTAACAGTGTAACGCATAAAAAAACATTAAAAAATTCAGCATTCTATTCTCTATGAAAATGATTTACATATGCAATATCATTAATTAAAATTTCTTTCTCATTAGTTTAACTAAATTAATAACTAAGAAAAATCAATTTGCTTATTTATTACAAATTAAAGGCAACATGCAGTTGAAAAGCATCGATTTATAACTATCAGAGGTCACAAATATTCTGATTTCCCCTTCATTTCATGATAAATTATGGTTTAAAACACAAAATAAAAATAAGTAATACTTAAAATTATTTTTAGCCACTCCATCAGCAAAAAGCAGTGTTACATTACCATTACTTACATATGGCAATGTTATTCTAAAAAATTATAAATCACACATATACTTTGAATTGTGCATGATAGTACATGATTGATATTTAAAATCTGCTTTAACATGAAATCAATTAGACATTTAAAATAATTTATCGCTTTAAAATGCTAATTCTTTAAATTAATTTCTGAAATACAGTACAAAGTCCGTAATCCAGACTCGGCGGGACTTCGGCAATTCCAGATTAGGGGTTTTTCCGGATTATGGTCAATTTAAATCTGGTAAGATGGCATGCAGAAATTATACAATTAAAAATATGAAACCGTAATTTATGAAATAAAGGGCAATTATGATCTAAAGTGTATCAAAATTTACCCCAAAAAAAGCTTAATATTTATTTGTTTACTTTAGTACACATTTCTATCAATGTAAGTTGTTTTAAGTTGCTTCGTTTTTTGTGCTAATACTTTCACTTTAATTCTATAAACAGACATAATTTCTTGTTCAGTTACAAAGTTCCACTGTTCAAGTCCTGTAATTGCTGTGTTGAGAATACCAACTAACTTGTCAATCAAAATTTTTTTGTTTTCAATAACGTTCTCTGTTACTTTCTTCACTATCGGAATTGCACATGGGTAAATGCTTTACTGGCTTTATGTGCATGCGTAGCGGATGCGTGCATCAAATGCACATGCGTAAGTTTGTGGCTTTGAGGTCCGGATTATAGATCATTCCGGATAATGGACGTCTGGATTAGAGACTTTGTACTGTATTTATAAAGGTTTGGTAAAATACAGGCCAATTTCACTTTATGTTAAATGCTTAAATTCAGAAAAATAATTCTAACCTTAGCCAAGGTAATAAGATCAGAACTAATAATATTTCCAGCTTCTTTGTTCTTCAATAATTTTTTCAGAACAGGATAGGTCCACTGCTCTAAAATAATTCTGGGCACTAGAAAAATTCACACAAGTAATATTTATAAAAATATGACAGTTTTATCATTCATAACAATTTAAATTTTAAAAACATTAACATAAGTTACTTAAATTGAAGTAAAGTAATATCAAATAGCCACAAATTAACATCAAGCTAACTTAAGCTGCACTTAAAAATGCTACAAATTATATCTCAAAGCAAAATAGCCATACCACAGCTTTGCACATTTTAAGAACTCTTGACCTCTTTGAAAACGACATGGTACATTGCATCCACAAAAATCCTTACCCAGCCTTTATTTTCCCAACCATTGGTCATAGACATTAACTTTTCTATGGAATCAAAAATCGACATTGCATTACTCTGGGTTAGCGATTACACGCGAGCACCCATTGCAGTGAACTACTCATGTTTGTCTGAGCCGACATTTCTTTCAGTTACAAAAATGCCTCAATGGATAGATTCATGTTTTGACATTTTTAAATTTACAAAAATCAATTTTTATAAAAATTATAAAATTGAACTTTCCATATAGTCCTCTAATCTTTATGTTTAGAAAAATTTTATGCAAATTATAAAAAATAAAACATAAAAAGTTCGACTCTCATACAACAAAAAGTGACCAAAATATTTTATATCATTTCCAATTTGCCTTGAGGAGCTGGTTAACAAACTGGAACAACTCAAGGTTGATTTTTCTCCATTAAATGCCATTCAGTGATATTCTTTCATGATTTTCTAGAGTGCAATAGTCTTTTAATTTATAATATTTCATAACAGTATGGCAAAAGAATTTTCACACAAGCAGGCTGTAAGTTGAGTTAAATATACATTACTATAGTTTTCATGAAAGATTATTGCATTAGAATCATTATCTAATAACCATACCAAAAACTCATTAAACTAGATATATTTTTAATTTTTAGTTTTAAATTCATGCAAATAATGTTACGAGCTGTTTATGTGCCAAAGGTGAAGCCTTCCATCGATTTTCAAAAAACATGAATTTTATATTTCTCTGGGCAAGATCTTTTTTTTTAAAAAAAGTTGTATTGTTTAATATTTTTTCATGATCCACATAAAATGCCTATCACTTAATCCATTAACATCAGAAAACTTTTTCAAAATGAATATTTTATTTTTAGATAGGTAAAAAACCAACTCGTTCATTCTTCAATTTGTGTATGGCCATTGAGTGTGATCAGCAAATTTAACAAGGTTATATCTCGGTCAATTTTTGTTGCACAGGAATCAAACTTTTTATATTTTTATAAAAGACAGAATAAAGGCTAGGTAAGGACATATGTGAACAAAGTGTATATATCACAACAGTTTGTAATAAAAATACATGACTCATATACATGGCTTTAACAACTTTAAGCTTGACACAGTTCACATAGTAGAAGCATACGAAATCAGCACAACTATTTAAATTGCTATGGCATATTGATTGTGACATTAGCATAACTGCTGGATTTGGTATGATATATTGATTGTGACATCAGTACAATCATAGGTGTTCATTTTTCACATCTTTGTTTTTAATGGTTTTGCAGTCACTAAAATTCATGCACATGTGCATGTCAACTTCAAAATAAACATGACCAACTGTAATAACGATAAAACAGAAACAAATTCACTTGGGATGTGTTACCAACTGTGCAGAGAAGAAATGAAACTAGTATAAAGAATTTAGGAACATCATGAAATGTTTAAATGCCATTATAACAGCTAAAACAAGCTTATACATAAACCAGTTGAGAGAGGATGAAATTAATGATTCAGAAATTATGAACTAGTGTTCTCAATCAAGATAGCTTTGCTGTTAAAGTAATAATTGGAAATTAATTAATTGATCAAGTTAGAGCAAAAAATATAGCATCTTAATAAAAAAATAGACATTTTGGTAGTGGCTTTAATGCACATTTGACAGTCTTATGGTAATCCTAAGCAGCAAGCATACGTGTGGGATTTGTTTGACCCCACCTCCATAAAATGGAATGCTCCTCTTAAATTATAATTCATTGTAACTTCATTTCTTCAATATTTGTCTTCAAAGTCAAGACCTTTATTTTAGATCAGGTTTCAAGTTTCTAGTTTCTTTATTTACTAGATAATTATTTTGAAATCATATTGGCCCATGTGCATCCTTATGTAAGTTCAGATTTTTTGCACTAGTGTGCAGAATTTTTCATGGGATTTTTCTTACTTTTGCTTTCCAAAAATGAAATGCAGTCTTTTGCGAATACAAAATGAAACTTACAATCTCTAATAGAAGTTGAAAATGATGACTGAAACAGTAGACAACAATGATGAAATAAGTGACCATGAATTATTAAACAAGCAGTATAAAGATAATGAACAAGAATTGAATAATGTATAGTCCTTTTTTGTTTTGTTAAATTTTACAGAATTTTATATTCATTTTGATGAAAATAGTTTAAGATTATTTTAGAAGATATGCGAGTGATAAATCATTTATGTATAGAAAAAAGAAAATATCTTCAAGGTATTCCCCACCCCCCCAAAAAAAGAAACAGAATTCTTTTTAAAAAAAACATGTATTTCTCTCTCTCTCTCCCTCTTTTTTTTTTTTTTTTTCTACAAAACAATCATCTTATCACCTTCAAACCACTGTCTATTACACTTAATAGAATTACCTAAACTATGATTCCATTCTTGGAAACATTTTCTAAACTCATCTATTTCAATAGTTGATAATTTCAACTGTTATTTTTTTTTTCTTCGCCTCTTGTGTGTCATGAAATTGCAGTCCTTTCCTGTTCCTATTCAATCGAGAAAACAAAAAGAAGTCACATGAAGTGAGGTCAGATGAGTAGGAGTGCATGAGGAGCGAGGTGTGTGAGGCAAAGAAGTCATGTTATATTTTACCAAAAACTTGTGCACTGAGATGGCTGCATGAGCTGGTGTTTTTGGAAGCTGGTGCATTGGTGGAAAAACTAGTCCCCTGACTGCCACAAATCAGGCCTCTTTCATTGCAAAAGCTTTTCAGTACATCTAAATAGAAAGTGTGATTAAGTCTGACCTGGTGGAGTGAGCTTTGAATGCAGTATTCATCTCACATCAAAAAAGCAAATGAGCATGGTTTTGATGTTTGACTTCACTTCTTGACATGTTTTTTTAGGTGAGGTAACAATGGCGTTTACCACTGGCTTGATTCATGTTTGGTTTTGTGGTCATAAAAATAGCACATCTCATCATTATATTTTTTTGCTAATCTGTCTAAATTCAAGGCAAAATTTTCACAGAAACACTTTTCACACCCAATTGTCTGTTAAAATTTGCTGAGCTGAGCTCTGAGATAGCCCAAATAAGTTCTTTGGCTCTTCAGTGGTCTTCAAGCACAAATGCGTAAATTTTTTCGACATTTTTTTCCATTCATGAAGCTAGCAAGACTCCAGAATGAGTTTTGTCAAGAATCAACATTTCTCCTTTTTTAACTGAGACACCCACTTGTACATTTGAGTTTTTCTTGTAGCACCATTCTTGTAAGAAGTGTTCTCAACAGATTTCTCACATATCTCAACAGATTTTGTAGCATTTTTCCCCATCAAGAAAAATTTCACAGCCACATGTTCACATAAATCAGCTGTCACAAAAAAAAAAAAAAAAAAAAAAAAAAAAAACAGAAGTGCATCAAACTGCTTTAATGAAAAAAAAAAAATCACTGTAACAGCAGAAAAACATTTTCAGACACTGAATGCTATGAGCTTGAAACAAGTTGATCGATGCTCACCTAGCAGGAAACACGTACACTACAGTACTCCGCCGCCCAGTGCAGCACAATTCTGGGAATTTTTGGGCTGTACCTTCTCATAATGTAATAATTATAAAATAATCTTGTAGTAATTACATTTTAATACAGAAAAATAATAAAACTAATTTAACTTTTTTTTTTCATTTTAATGTAAGTTTATATGTACTTAAGTTAAATATGGTAAGTATAATTTGATAATTTCATATTTGTATCACTATTTAGGAATAATTTTTTGAGAATATGGAATGAAAAAATAACTTATGCAGGTATGTTTGATAAACCATATTTCAGGGAATAATAATTTGAAAAAAGCATATTTAAGATGGAGTCAAATGCATCCCCATGTACGAGTATGAAGAACATGCCCTTTCGGTTAAAGGATTAATATAACTACCAACAGTAATGTTTGTGCTCTGAAATGTAATGGTCACTTTCGGAAGTGATTGCCATGCCAGGATTCACTGACCCTTTTTTCTTTACTTTTATGTGGTTTTGAAAGTTCCACATATATATGTCATACAAGTAGCTGTAACTACAGCACAGAACATGTTAAATGTAACTGCAACATAGAATAGTAATAGATTAGTGTAGATTAAACAATGTTTACGTGATCTTGAGTAATCTTTTTTCTCCACATTAATATCACACAAATACATTACATGGCAGGGTTGGCAAAAAATTTAGAAGATCAACCACTCAGTAGTCCCATCAATTACCTCAGTCAATAAGAATTTCAAGTAGCAGCATGTGATAAAACTATTTCTGCTATTTCAGATTTGCTACATTGCAAAAATAAAATCCAGTCCAGGGGATATGTACAGTAAATCCTGAATTGAGTGCAAAGCTAATATAATCTCTAAATGGCTACAAAGCTTTATTTCAGAAAATTAGAAAATAAACTAGCTGCATCAATCAAATTAAATTAAAACCAAATGCTGTTTGTAAAACAGAACCCTACAGGAAAATTCCATTTAGTTTAATTAAACCCAACGAAAAAATTATTGGCAAGAATGAATAAAGATGGTGTTATAAAGAAAGTTAATCAAGTTACACAATTTATGAATTAATTAGCTATAGTAAGAAAAGGGGTGGTCGTTTAAAAGTATGTTTAGATTCTCAGTATCTTAGCCAAAGTATACTCAGACTGCACTATCACACACCAATGTTTCAAGCAAATTTCATCTCAAATGGCTAATGTAAAATTGTTTAGCATTTTAGATCAAAATAGAGCATTTTGTCTACTTAAACTGTTAGATTGAGATTGAAAGCTCACTATATTTAATGCTCCATTTAGTAGATAGAGCTTCTTAAAATTCATATATAGGCTATTTTAATTATCATCAGATTTTCATAGAAGCTTTCCTGAAATTTTTGGTGAACTAAAATGATATCAAATATATGTAGATGACTAATTAGTTAAGGGGAGAGAACATGATCAAAGATACTCTTTGAAGACCATATCGGCCTAGACGGCCCTTCATTCATACGGCCGAAATTCCGATGCTGTTTTCTTCCCTTCCCTAAGGTATGCAGTAGCAAGTGTAGTTTCCCTAAATGCACTGTATCAGTTTATTGCAGACAGCTTGTCCCAAAAGGATTTATTTGTTTCTTATCTTTATTTGTTAGAAGCAGAATGGATGTCATTTGAAATCTTCACTCTTCTTTGTGCGTTAATGGATGGGGAGGTAAGGAAACTGCTGCGACTCTCGAAAATCATTTCGGGCGGTTCGGTATTTTAACATACACGTTAGCGAAGGCTTTGGGTTTTAAAGAGTTAAGGAAGGTGCTGGAAACAGCCAAAGAAAAGAATACTGAATTTAAATAAATGTAAAAATTGCACTGAATGAAATCAAATATATGGGGGAGAACCATTTTCTAAAAATGGCTTAAAACCACATGAAGATAAAAATTACAGCTATTCTAGATATAAAAAGTGATGAAATATGCCAAAGAATTAGAAATTTTCTTAGGAATGATAATCTGTGTTTTTCAGATTCATACATAATTTATCAGAATTGAAATCACATTTAAGAGCTTTATTGAAAAAATTACTTATTTGGAATTGGGATGCAGTACATAACAAAAAGCTTTCATAATGCTAAAAGCTGTCTTAATACATAAACCAGTTTTGTAGTATTATGATACACATAGAAAGTGCAACACCATGAAAGGTTGCGTAGAATGTGATGTCAACTGATACCCAGACAGAGCATTTAAGTAAGTGATGTATAGAAAGTTAAAGGTATACAGTGCTGAAATATACAGGGAATCAAAACTATGTATGATCACCTCTTGCAGGGATCCAAGTTGCAACCCTATGAGGTAGAGATTCAGTTAACGTGCAGACAATGCTCTAGAGATGGAATCCCATATTCTCTCAACCCTTCCCTGAAACTCATCCTCCCACAATAGCTGGAGTAGAACAGACAAACAACGACCAATCACGTTCCAGATATGCTTGATCAGTGAAAGATTAGAAGACACGGCAGAACAAGGAAGTGATAGGATATGCTGCAAGGCTTGTCGGCTAATGAATGGCATGTGCAGTGTCACGTTGTCCTGCTGGAAATACCATTTTGCAGTCGCTGAAGGTAAAGACAGCACAACCAGGTGCAGCACTCATCAATGTATCATTGTGCCATCAATCTGCCTCTGATGTGTAACAGGGGTGACCTGCTACCATGACTAATAGCATCCCAAACCATTATGCTCTGTTGAAGTGCAGTGTTCAGTAACAGTATTCAGATTGGCTCTAGCTTCCCAGTAAACTCTTAAATCAGACCGACAAAACAGACTCATCACTGAATACCACATTGTGCCATTCAGATGTCCAAAGTAGTCCATTATAGAGCCACCACATCTCTCAGTATGCATTCTGTAGTAAGTATAGATGGACCTTCGGCTATAATATATTACCTTTGGCTATAATCATTTGACCAACTTACATCTTACACCATCAGCATGACTTTTACCGCTATGTATTCCCTGAAATTTGCATATTCATAAGGTCGAATCTTCATAGTGTTGCATTTCCTATGTCAGGCAGTGAATAAATATGCCCACACACTGAATAGATCTTCAAAGGAATTAGGAGCAGTCTTACTGCAGAATAATTTGCCAATGGCAATGCATTCAAAACATTTAAAGATATGCAGCAGTATTATGTTCAAATCAAAAAAGAAACTTTAGCTATCACATTTGCATGCAGGAAATTTCACAAATATATAGATTTCATAAATTTTTACTACTAAAAGTGGCCATAAATATTTGGAATCAGTTTTCATGAAACAACTAAATTAATACCCACTAAAATTGCAAAGAATGTTTTATAAGATTACAGCCCTATTAGTTTGATATAAAATATAAATATGGAAAAGAAGTCTTTATGGCTGATGTATTATCAAGATCATTTGTGTAGTTGTACATAGAAATTTAGGAAAATATATGTTTACCAGAATTCATTATGGTCACATAAGAAGTGAAAAATTCAAAAATAAATTTAGAGAACTATTATGTAAGTCAGGAACATTAAAGAAATTAAGGTACTCTCTAATTAACCTTCCACCTTCCCACAATGTTGCCAATCGTTGGTGACTAATTTTCCATCAACCTAACACATGAAAAACGTAGCCATTTTAAAAAATGATGGCTCACTGAAAATTACCTAAAGCATCACTGAATTAATGAAATTAAAAGTGCAGTAAACATCCTTAAAGAAATATAGAAAATTACATAAAACAAACATTCATAATGAAATGCTTAACTTTTCCTGATCATATTTCGACATATTAATAAAAAATAAATACATTCCAGGATCCTCAGTTTAAAACGTAGTTAAATGCTGCTGTTGTAAAATAAAGTTCTGATCATGCATTTTATACAAATTTCAATGTTCTGACAGATTTTTAAAAACATTTAATTTCATATACTTTCAAATACATTTTAATGTTACTACTAGACCTCTTTTTACCAACAGCAGAGACAATGGTGAAACATTCACCTATCAGAAGGCAAATGTGTGATATTTAGTATTATCTCTTAAAAAAATTCTAAAAATGGAACAGTTTTGAAACAAACAGATAATTTGGATCACTAACTGAGACAGATTTTTAATATTTAATAAACGTTAATTTGCCACTCACAAGAAGTACTTACTTTTGGATAACAGGGGGGAAATAGAAATAGAATTTAAAAAAGAAATAAAAAAATAGAAAATTTCTGCTTATGGCTCTCAAGTTTAAAAGAAAAGAAACATGAACTACATCCACAGGAAAATATAGACTGTACAAATATAAATACAGGGATTTACATACCTATTTTAATTTTCTTGTTTAACTGCTTAAGTGTAGCTAACCAATTCTGATCTATGTCATGAAGGCCTTCAATCAAAATACCACCTCGAGAATCTTTTGGTTTCAACTGAAACCAAACAGGAGATATCATCGTGAATTTGGAAGAGAAAAGTTTTGCAACATCATAACCATGGCTATTCCACTATTAAAAAAAAATTGAGATTTTAAACTATATGTATGCTTATTTTGCTATATATAAGAATCCACTGAATGCAAAATTATAATTTAAAAAAATCTCTGTTCTAATGCCCATAATACAATTTTTATGCCAATAGCATTTGTTTAACAAAACCAAAAAAAAAAAAAAAAAAAAAAAAAACATTCTTCAACAAAATCAATTTCAATAAATCTTAATTATTTAGTAGACAATTATCTCTAATAATATCTCCATTTATTTTTGAAAATATATACTTAATGTCAGTACTTATGCAGATGGTCATAAAAATATTAATTGGAATAATAGTTTTTCACTACTATTATTTCTATGCATCTAAAAAGTGACAGTTAAAACTGAAATAGATTCAAGACTCGAGAAACATACATGCACATTTCCAGTATCTCAACTAAATAAAATGTGTGCAAATGCATATATATGCATAATATATCATATTTAAAATGCATCACAATATATTATAAAACAAACAGCTGATGAACTACCATTTCTCACTAATGCACTACTTTTGGAAAGAAAGAAGCAAGCAGAGCAGATCTGTCACAAATACTTCTAAGACTACATGTCTTGAGAGAATCTAAATAAAAGTATTTATCATGTTTAATCATCTAGTTAGAGAAGTACCCAAGTGCAAAGCAGTGGAAAGTGAAATAAGCACAGAACTTTATGGTGTTATAAAGGTGCAACAGCCGTTATTTAAAATGCACTTGCTGTGTAGAGTCAAATACAGCCATTGGGACTTTGGAAAGTTTCTTATGAGAATAACACGTTTATTTGATATTAACAATTTTTAAAAAAATTTACAATAATCAGAACTCTAGAATTCATATAGCAAAAAACATAAAACACATAAAAAGGGGGCCATTTCATAACCCTGAAAAAAGAATAATTACAAAGCTAAATTAATGACAAATAGCTCAAACTTATTGTTTTAATGCCAGTGTCAAAATTTATGATAAATAGCTCAAACTTATTGTCTTAATGCCAATGTCATTAGCTCATCATTAATTCATCATTGTTTGAAGCTCGCTAGTGGCTGAGCAGGAAAACTGCTGAACACCAATAGTCTAACCCAGATTCACATTCAGGTGAATGGGCTAGCTGTATAGGCACTTTTCTCCATGTGTTATGTATAGGTGACAGTTTCTCTTAAAAAGGCCTTGACAAAGGCATTCCTCCTTAGGAAGATAGACCTTATGCACTTAATCTTAATCAAACCAACCATTACAGTTCAGTTTAGTTAACTCCCCAATGTACAAGCTGGGAATTTCCAAGCCTTATCCACAGGAAGGCTTTGCGACGGTATCCATTATGAAAATACCAATACCGTTACGAAAGGCAGCCATTATTTGAAAAAACAGAAACCTTCACAATAAGGTCCAGGGGGGGGAATGGTACTTTTATGATAATTGGAGTTTTCAAGTTCAAAAATGAATTTCATAAGGATGAGAGTACTTTTATACTTGAGCATCCTCATGAAAAATTTGTGACTTGGAAAATAATTGTCAATTAGCTTATAAATGTAACAGCATCTTTATTATGCATCATCATTAACTGGTCCCTGGCCACCAACACCTGAGATGAGGAAATAAAGTGCATGTCATGTCAACAGAGACGGGAATTAAGAGAACTAGACTATTTTGGATCTATTTTCATTATGTCACACATTAATCCCCCTTATATTTTTGTAATACAGTCAAAAGTCGTTAATTCGGACATCCATAATCCAGAATGATCTATAATCTGGAACTCAAAGCTACAAACTTTCTGCGTCGCATTGACGCATGCGCGTATGACCTATACGGATGCGAATATGCATGTGCGCCTGCTCAAAATAAGTTTACGCATGCGCGTTTAATGTATAACGGATGGTATAAGCTAAGCTAAAATTATCTAATTCAGTTAATGTTGCAGATTGCCTTGTTCCTTAATCTTCGAATTGGGATCCGGCTTAATTATTTTTGCAGACTGTTAGAGCAATTTTATAAAAGTAAGCTTGAAACTTTCGATTATGTCAAATAGAAATTTCCATATATATTACTAATATGTAAGGATCCACAAAGCGAAAGTAAGTTTCGAAGTCCATTAAACGAAAAGTGGAATTGCTGCAAAAAAATGGATAAAGGCATATCCTTTGTTTATCTAACCATTTCGAAATCTGTTTATCAATTTCACGCTGCACTGCGGCGGGGGACGCCGCGGCGCGCAATGAATCGGAAGTTGATCTGTCGGCACTATCCTTATCTTCAGGGCAGATGTTTTTATTTTATTTGGCTTATAATTCCTTACTAAACGTAGTATTTCATCTCGATATACTCCGTCTTGGATATGATTTAAATCAAATTCCTCATCATTATAATTCGTTCCGATAGCCGAAGAAGTAAAGTAAACATAATATAAGCTTTTTTTTTTTTTTTTTTTTTTGTTTTTTTTTTTTTTTGTAAATTTTTGATACCCTTGAGATCATAATTGTTCTTTATTTCATAAATTAACTGTTCATATTTTAATTTTATAATTTCTGCACGCCATCTTACAAGATTTAAACTGATGATCTATAATCCGCAAAAATCGATAATCCGATCGCCGAAGTCCCGACGAGTCCGGATTAACGACTTTTGACTGTAGTTGATAGAATTTATCTTTATTCTTCAATATTATTTTAAAATAAAATTACCTTCATTCAATTAACTATTTTTCATTCATTATATTTTCATTACATTCAACTAATTAATTTTTTTAAATTTTTTAATTACCAGAATCTTCCAATTTTTAAATGCTATATTAAATTAGTTTCCTCAAATTGGTCACTATGGGTTAGAACTTTCAATGTTAATTTAGCATTTAAAGAATAATAAAAAATTGTCAACTATTCCTTTACAACTCTCCATTCAAACTTTTCACTTTCTCTTTATATCAACAAGTAATCATTTATGGTAGGTATTCTTGGGCTTCATGAGCCACAGGAAGCCCTTACATTTCTGAATTAATATGGCTTTATGAATTCGTATTAAATGCAGAGGAAGCTTTTCACTGCCATTTGCATTTACAATTAAGAGAATAGACAGCCTTCTTTTTATTTTTGCCTTTGTGGCATGCTCCATTTTAGAAAGAAGAGTTGCTTTAGTATGTAAACTGAAGACAAAACTAGTAACACTGAAAGCATCACATAAGCCTAAGCTTATACAGTACATTCAAGGATCTCTGTTTCTTTATATTGTATTGCTTCGTCAGTATCAACATTCTTGTTTTTCCAAGTAGACAATTTATAGACATAATGGATTTTAAAGCATTCAATCCAGACAAAAGAAGCAGTTAAGCAAGTCTTTAATTCTTAATCACTGAGTAAAACACAAAACTTTTTTCAACATGTCCAAAAAGTCAACACTCTTGAAACCATGCAGCATGCTTCTTCAAGATCTATCAATGACAATATTTTTACCTATTTTTGTTTCTTCACAAACTGTCACACAATCTGCTGCACACTTAGCCTTTATGTTTAGATTTTTCATTAATACTACTAAAGTTAATTAAGAAAAATTAATTATTTTATTAGAGAAAGATCATAATCTAATGGATTTTTTCTAACTTTAATTTAAATTATTAAAACTTTAATAAAAAATTTTTAACATTTATGCTAAGAATTACTTTCATTTTTTATTTACATCCATTTTAGCAATGGAATATCTTACCAAAAGTTAATGTTCCAAAATGAATATAAATCCAAAAATGACTGTAAAAAGTGTAGCAGTCACATAAATAATCATAGGTTAAAGATCTTGACTAACTAGGTACAGGACAAAAAAAATTAACTATATGTTTTTACAAACCATTTGACTTCACAATTTCCTGGAGCTCTAGAATAAGCAGTCTATACTTCCTAGTACTTTCAGATTCCATGTACTCCCCCCTCCACGAAAAGTCACCAAATCATTGATGATTTTGTGAATTGGTGAAAAACTTTTGCTTGGCTATCTTCATGACTTACAGTTACTGTTCTATTCATAAATAATAATAAAAGGAAGCATTTCATAAGAAACAAATTTTACGAGGGAAAAATTATAAATCTATATGATCAATATTTACATTTTTTACAGCTAGTAGATACTGTTCAGCAAAATGTTGGTTAAATATAAAGTACGTAAATTCTTGTGTACTCAAATATGTGTGTGGTACATGCATACGCAGACTAGCTATTATTGCATGTATACACCAAAAACTTGGCAATTCTACTACACAGTGCATTTGGAAGTGCAGATGATCCAAAAAATTGGACAAAAAGTTTTCCTTTAATCTCAAGAAATTCTTTCGTCTCTTTCTTTTTTTCTTTTTCTTTCTTTTTTTTTTTTTTTTTTTTTAATTTACAAGATAACAAAACTGGAGAAACGTCACATTTTAGCATAGCTTGAGAATTATGTATAGCTTTGAAAAATACAGTCAAACTTATTAACGTGAACATGCCTAATATGCAATGCTTTTAATGCAAACTTTTAACTCCATAATCCTGAAAGGAATTACAAGATTTTAATTTCTTTCACATCAGCACATTCAACTTGAAATAATTTTTCAGATGAACTGTTAATCAACAGCTCTACATACGTTTTTCAAATCACTCTCATGTTTTTCCAAGTCTTTTTAAGAGACTATTCAAATTTTATTCTTTCTTTCAATTGAAGAGTTCCACAGAAGAGGGTAACAGCATTATCTTTGAAAAGAGAATTACTACTACACTTTCCTTTTTATTCTAATAGCTCAAGGCAAGGTTTGGTGGCCCCAAGAAATCACTCTGATGAAGGAAGGATTCTTTCTGTCTTTTTCTTTTCATCATTCACACTGTTCTAACATAGCTAAAATCTGGATAATTGAAACATGAATTTTATGAATAAAACTACCCTGTTGGATTCATTCAATTCTGAATTGCTCTAGTATAAAAAATGTGTCACAAAATGCGGAAAATGTTGCACTTGCAAAAC